AATTTAGAGCATTTCCAGAACCCCAAAGAAACACCATGCCTATCAGCAATTGCTTCATTCTTCTGTCCTCCAGTCCCTGGCTAGTACTATCTTACTTGGTCTCTATGGATTTTCCTATTCTGAACGTTTAATATCCATGGAGTCATACACTGCTCTTATCCCTATTTTACAGATGAGAAAAACTGAAGTTCAAGAAGGTCTTGTGTTTTGTATCTGGACCATGTCTTCTACTTCTTTTGCATCCACTGCCAATCAGCAAGATAATGAACACAGAACAGAAGCTGAGAAACACAGGTGGAATGGAATAGAGCTGAGATAAGATACTGGTTGATTATGCCCAGTGACAGCAGGTATGATTTTACTCTCTTAGCAGACAGACCAGATTGATTTGATGGGAAATGTTCTTTATTTGAGAAAATACCAGTATAAATAGGCTTTGAGGGAAGCAAAGATATCCAAGGGTATGTTTACTTAGCAGATATGTGTTCTGCTCTGGAGAAGGAAGACCCAGGAAGACAAAGGGGTAGGTGTGGTAATGGGGGATGTCTGGACAAGAAATTGAGGAGCAGCAGGGAGCTGCATGGAAAAGGTGGAGGGTAGATATGGTTGAAGGTTGAGAAAATCACCCTGCAATGTGATGATGATGATGACCTATTTGAAGTGTGCCCTAGTTTGCAGACTGCACCCTATATTAACAAATGTTCTGAGTTGGTGGTGACCCTTTTATCTGATGGATGCAGAGGAAGGCATGTCTCTCAGGTATGGGTTTCAACAGAGTAGTTTTAGGAGTCAATGATGACCCTGAGACTGAGCCCTCAGGCCATTGATGAAAACACTAAAGAGGATCTTAGACCTCTATCCTGGGGGTTTAGTCCAATTTTCTTCAGACTTTAACAATCAAGAGGCCCCAGCTGACCCACAGTTCAAAATCAGGTGATTATATATGCTGTGTATTTGCCTGATGAAGCAGCTTTGTTGAACCTCCAAAGGGCATTTGGGAGAGCAGTGAACACAGGCCACTTGTTCATTTCTGGGCCAGGCACTAAGGTGGCAGAGGGGAGTCTTCCAAAGTCTTCCACCTACCCTAGGGGACACATGCTTCTTTAGGCAAGATCTGTTCCCCAGAAGCTGTGTGTCTCTTGAGAAAGAGCCCTAGAAACCACAAAAGCCAAGTGAGGAAGACAAAGTGAGAAGGGAACTGTCAGGGAAGCAGCCGTTTTCCTGCAGCTGTGAGAGCCTCAAAGCAGTGCAGGCAGGGATTCCATCTGAACTGAACTAGGCCATGCTGTCCTTGCCTACCCTCTAGGGACTCAGTACTTTGATGGGGACTGGTTGAAGAGATGGACAGTGTAGAAGCTGGGCTGAAAAAGGGGTCAGAAACAAATGCAGCTGCCCTGTCTGGATTAAAAAAAAATTAAAAAACAGAGTTCTAAATTATTTTGCCTCCTGGCAATCTACTGACTTTTCTCTAGAGCTCCCCAAAACTAAAAATTAGAAGGAATCAACCTTTAGGGCCTTCTGGATCTCCCTCAGGAGTGCCAGGCTTCAAAACTAATGAATGAATTTTCAAAGTCAAGAGCAATTTAGAAACTTCAGAGCTGCAAAGGGAGATGGGGAGACCTGCAGACCTCTTCCCACTCTTCCCACCCAGCAGGGAGGCTGCAGCTTCCCTTTGTCATGTTTTGAATACAGAGGGATATAGTGGGATTCAGCCTCTCTATGTGCTGAATGAGGAGACCCAGCAGGGCCCAGGCTAGGTTCCTGACTCAATCCTGCCCTGCCTCCCTGGCTGGCCAGCTCAGAAGTGTGCCCTAGGGCTCTCTGGAACATACCAGTCATTTTCTGAAGATGCTGCTCACAAGACACAGTATACTGCTCCTTCCAGTTGCTGTCCAACAGTTGGCATTAAGGTCTCAGATGGCCTCTTATACCCAGTGAAATCATACCAGATTTTATCACCCTGACCTAAATTAGTTAATTCCTTCAGTCAACATACTCACGCATGGATATCAAACGAAACAGAATCCTACTCTCAAATAGACACAAGCAAACAAATGACAAGAGCTCCTACTCAATTCTGGAAGCTTCAAACACACTAAAAAGAGCACTATGACATTTTCCTCTGATCACCAGATATTATCTGTTATCCTGCTAACAGTCACTGTGACAGGTTTAGAAGACAGTTTTCTCAGGAAATTGGACAACTTTCCTACATTTCTCAGCCAGTGACATTGTCCTAAAACCGGTACTGACCTTGTAAGGTTTGGGATTCCAGGGATCCCATTTTTTTCCATTAAAACTACCCATAACTTTATAGGGTTGAATAGGAGGATGAACTCCCAATGTTTTACAGCTTAATTTGTTTGGGTAATGATGATTAACAATGGTTAACTAAACATTTCAAAATAGCCCATAAAAGAGGATCTAGAGTGTCCCCAATACAAGGAAATTATGCATGTCTGAGGTGACAGATATGCCAATTACCCTTATATGATCATTGAATGTTTTATACATGTATTGAAATGTCACACTGTATTCCATGTACATACAATTACTATGTGTCAATGAAAAATAAAAACATAGTGTTTGAAAAAGAAATTATTCTTTTATCTTGAAAAAGAAATAGAATTACCCATACTACAGAAACTCTTCTAAGTTATAGAAAAATGGCCTGTGACCACAAGCTCTCTTCTGGTCCAACCACATAAAATTTCCATTCATTCCATGAAGAATTGCCCCAGTCCAACAGTCTGTGCCACTGCTTTGGACAAAGCTCAATCATTTCTGACCATAAAAATTCCTGAGTGATGAAAGCTGCAGCCAGAGCCATTAGAGGGAAGGCCTAGAAGGGTCTCTTCTAATCATCTGCTTAATTGAGGCTGCAGTGAGAGACAAACAACATTTTTTTATCAAGGTCAGTTTTCCCAGGCACCAATCAAAATCTAGAAGCTGAACATCTATCCTTGAGATGGTGAGGTTAAGGACATAATGAGGTCAGTCAGAGCATTTTAATCCCATTCTCTGCTACCCTTCTTATTTACTCCAGTTTAGGACACCACTGATCACAGGACTCTCTTCTCTCAACTATTATCATCCCAGAAGAGTGGGAAATCCATGGTGGTCGACACCTTCACCATTCATGTGGGATCTCAGGGAGGGAGAGTTCTTAGCGGGTTCTAGTGGAATCTACTCATAGAACACAAGAGTTGGCCTTTTGGCCACCCTCACAAAATCTATTACTATGTGAAGGGTGCTGAGAGCTGTGCCCAGCAGATATTAAGCATCACATAAATGCTCACTGTAGGCATCTTCTTCTTCCTCCACTTATTCATAATCATCTCCCACAGGCTGATAGGGCATCACATCTAGCAGACACTTACACTATCAATAACCACCTCTGTCCTCTTTGCAATTTCCACAACACTTTCAAATACATCTGCACATTGGATCACCTCAATATGCTACTACTATCCCTAGTTTATAAATTTAAATTAAAAATTTTTAATTTTAAAGTTTAAAGAAGTGAATTGGGCAAGGACAACTAAATTTGAAAAGATAATGTATCTGAGGTCACTGAACTTGAATTAGTAGCAGAGCTGAAACTAGAATCTGGGTTTTCATAGGCTTCTGACAGGGCAGAGAAGAGCGGGCAGCAGTTTGAGGAACAAATCTTTTTGCCACAGAAGCTGCATTTGATAACTGCTGATGGTTTTGAGAATATGCAAATGGCCAAACATGTTCTTCTACCAAATTCCCTGGATTGGAAATAGAATAACTATCAAGCACAGGGCACATATCACAGGGCACATATCTGAGGACAGCAGATGCCCCTGAAGAGTGCTGTGTACTGAGCAGAGGCCTAGGAGAAAACTTATGTTTTAGGAATTGTCTTGGTCACTGGGATCCATGCTGGGCACTGCTGTAGGGACTTTTCAAGTTGCAGATGGGGACTAATTAATCATCTTCAACTTGAATTTCTCTTTAGTCCTTTTGTTTGTTTATTTATTAATATATATTTTGGTAGCATGGATTGAACCTAGTGGTGCTTAGCCACTGAGCCATATCCCCAGCCCTTTTTATTTTTTAATTTTAAGAAAGTTTTACTAAGTTGTGTAGGGCCTCATTAAATGGCTGAGGCTGGCTTTGAACCTGTGATCTTCCTGCCTCAGCCTCTGGAGCTGCTGGGATTATGGGTGTGCACCACTGTGTCTGGGGTCTTGTTTTTTTTTTTTTAACCCCAAGCCTTCCGAGACAATGTTGTGGAACCAGGAACACTGGCCTTCTGAATTTGTCATCATTGACCATCTCTTCCTCCCCCTCCCTTGCCCCAGGCCACTTTCTTAACTCTGGATTAGAATCACCCTTGAAATCCTTTCTCCATTTACAGAGCAGCACAATAACCTAATGGAAAAGCTTCCTCTTTTAAGCTGTTATCTTATTCTTGACTCACCATGGTTGGCATTTCAACAGCTCCATATAAAAGAAATTTCATGAAATGCTCTAAGAAAATAATTGCACCTCATCCTTTGTTTCTCAACTCCTTTAATCCTTTTCTCAGATATGGCCACCATAATTAAATGCCATATTCTGGATGTCAAACTAAAATTCACAGCTTTGATAAATATTAGGCGATTAAGCTATTTATAAAATATATAATTTGAAAATCTGGCATTTCATGTGCTATGATTATTTCTTCTCCATGAAGATTAAGTGCTTAGCCGCGTGGAAGGCATTGCCAGGAAGGGAAATTAATAAGGATGTTCACTTGTGAGTTTCAACTATTTCCACATTTCAAACGAGTTGAGACAGTTTCCTTGAAAAAAAGAGAGGAGAAAAAGAGAGAAAATTCCTATAAGCAAAGTGATATGTTATGCTTTTTAAAATGAGTCTTTTCCTCTCTGAATCAGTGTCACTGAAAATTTGGGAGCTGGGGCGGTGGGTCTCAGAGTCCTATGCTAAGGTGGGATGCCCCACTGGGCAGGGTGGAGGGCGTGTCCTACCAGAAGGTCCACCATGTTGGGTTTGTTGTTCCTCAGCGTCTTGACAGCATGGAAGACGTCCACGGTCCTCTGGTGCCTGAGCATCTCACAGACAATGCTGATGGCACAGAATGTGCCACTGCGGCCTCCCCCATTCCTGTCATAGAAGAAATCAGATGATTGGACATTTACCTATCTGTTGCATCTTACACACAATCTGTGGAGACATGTTTTCTACACTCTACCGTGCCAGTCATGATGAAGGTTCTGGAGGTCTCTGAGCACTCTACCTTAGCTAAGACAAATTCTCTACCAAAGGGGACAAGCTAGCCAAGTGTTTGACCCATAGTTCATGGGGGTAGAGCACATAATTGAACTCGGCCTCCATTATGTTATCTGCTATGGCACCTTATTGATTTTTATAGAAAGGGCCCACTGGACAATTTTTCAATGATTACACATCTCATCTGATGTCTGCCAAGAAAATTGATAATAAGTGTGGAAAAGGTTCAAAGACACATCTGGCTTTTAAAAATGTCCATCATTTATCTCTAAAACATGAGGCTCTTTTTAAATAAAACTTTTTATTTTGAACTAATTTTAGATGTGCAGAATCACTGCAAAAATAGCATAAAGAATTCCCTTGTATATCCAACTTCCCTGGCATGAACATCTTATATAACCACAGTATGTCATCAAAACCAGGACAGTAACACTGCTACAATACTTTTTTTTCCCCCTGCTACAATACTATTAAAAGTATGGGCCTCAAATTTCACTGGTTTCTCCACTGATGTCCTTTTTCTAGTCCAGGATCCCATCTTACATTTAGTTGTCATGTCCACTTAGCCTCCCTTCATTGTGTTCCTGTCTTTCCCTGCGTTTCTTGACCTAACTTTTGTTAAATCAGTTATTTTTCAGAATATAAAATGTGAAATAGAGAATGTAGATGGGGGAAGTACTCATGGGTCTCAGCCACACTTTGAGAAGTCATCACAAAGTACAAAACATAGACTGTGATTGGAAATGAAGCCATGCGTTTTTGCCAAGAAAACTGCAGAAGGAATTGCTTCTTGAAAAGGACAAGAATTGAGGAATAAGGACTAATACGTTGAGCCATCTTATTCCTGGTGATGTTGACCTTGCTCATGAGTTGAGATAATGTCTACCAGGTTTCTCACTGTCAAAATCTTTCTGTTTCTAGTTAAGACATATAATGGGGGACATACTTTGGACTGTGCAAATATCTTGTTTCTCCACAAAGGTTTGCACACTGATTTTTGCATCCATTGGTGGCTCATGTCTGCACTAATTAATGATGATTGTGGTAGTTGCCTAACATAGGAAAGAGGTTTCCCCTTTCCCTCATTTAAACATGTATTTGCTTATTTTTATTTTGTTGTTTATATCAGTGGAGGCATAGCCTGAATACCAATTTTATTCCATGAGCTAAAACCCAATTACATCACTATTTATCTTGTTGCTCAAATTGTTCATTTTTGGCCATTAGGAGTTCCACATAGTTTTTGTGATAGGTCCTATACTTTTTTGAAGATTTTCTCATCTTCTGGAACCATAGATGTTCCCAACTTATCCTGTATTTTCTCTGCAACAGATCTGGAACATATCTATTTTCATGGAGCTAAGGGACCTTTTATATCTCTGTATTTTAAACTCAATATCTCTATCATACCTAAAATAAAGAAACATTACTGTTGATGTTTTACAGTGCTGGGAAGTGCTGGCCTTATGAGTGGTAGGCAAGTGTTCTACCTTTAAATCACACCCACCTCTCACCCTTCTGTTTTAATATAATCAAAATTTTAGTCAGTGTTCAGATTTCCCAGATGGTTTCTTACAGTTGATTAAAAAAAAATCACATCTAAGAAAAGGCCACACATTGCATTTGGTTGGCATGCCTTGCAAATTTATTTTAATCTCTTTGCTCTATCTTATACCTATAATAAAATTCACAAATGGTAAAAAGATATGTTACTTTTTACTAATGCACACATTATGTAACCACATCAGGTCTAGACAGAGACCGTGAGCAGCCCCCAGTCAGCCTCCTTCAAACTGTCTCCTCATCAATACCCTCAGGACCACCCAAAACAATATCTGTTCTCACTTCTACTGTTACATTTTTTTTGCCTAAATGGATATATGGAATCATACAGCATATACTCTTTTGAGTCTAGCTTATTTCACTCAATATTATCATAGACTCTTCCTGTTGTTGACTGTCAGTAGTTTCTTCTTTAATATTGACAAGAAAAATTCCACTGAATGAGTACTCTACTGTGTAACTTATCTGTCCCATAGCTCCTTCCAGATTTTAGGTATTATGAGTCCACCTGCTATAAACATATCCTGTGTCATACAACTTATTTCTATAGTCACGTATCTAGGAATGGAAGGGCTCAGAGTATGTGAGTACCTAGCTTTGATAGATGCTGCCAAACAGTTCCAAAATGGTTGTATGATAGTTACTTCCTAGCAGTAGAGCCTGAGAGTTCTAGTGACTCCACAGCTTCACAACCACTTGGGGGATCATCATTTGTCTTTAAAATTCCAGTCATTCAGGTGGATATGCAGTGGGCATCTGATCCAGGTTTTAATGTGTATTTCCTAAAAGCTAATGATGCTGAATACTTTCTCTGTGCTCACTGGCTGTCTGGACAGCTTAATTTTTTCAAATGAAGCACTTGTTGATTTTTTCCCCCCGTTTAAAGAACTGAGGCCATCTATCTTATTCTAAGGACTTGCAGTAATTCTTAGACATTCTGGCTCTGAGCCATTGGGGAGATACACAGACACACACACACACACACACACACACACACAGACATAGACACTCACATGTATATATGAAACAAAATTCTCCTCCTACTGCTTTCTTACTCACTTATTAATATCTTTTGATGAACGAAAGTGTTTCATTTTAATGGGACCCAATATATCTCTATTTTTCTTTATGACTAGTGTTATGTGTCCTTTCTTGACCAGTCTTTGATTATCCCATGATCATGAGGAGTTTCTGCCATGTCTTCTTCTAGTAGCTTTGATGTTTTACTTTGACATTTTGGTCTACAATCCTTCTGGACAGGAATCCTTGCTATAGTGTGAGACTTCCCTGATGGCCTACAGGTGTGTGCTGTAGGAGATCTTGCTGTGAGTCAGGTGACACAGATGTGCAGTTCCTGGACCTTCTCACGAGTGTGTTTGCTATTCTTGCACTAATATTACATTGCTTTTTCCCCACCATCTTTTTACCTGATGCTATTGACAGTTGTGATGACCACTGTCTATATCCAGAGTTTCTAAATGGTAATACCTTAATTCTATTTTTCTGTTTCTGATTTCAGTAGTTAGAAGACACATATCAAGAAAAAAATTCCCTATTTCAGTACTTCAAGTGTCTGTGGCTCAAGGAACCATTGCATTCACAGTGCCTGGAGAGCTGTCTCATGTAGGAGTCTCTTCTTATGGCCAATAGGTGGCGCTACAATATGCTGAAGATGGCGCCATTATTACAGAGAGGCACAGTGTGGTGCTTCCAAAGTCTTCTTTCCTGGCCAATACTAGAAGATACCAATTTAACTTTGTTTCTTGTATAGTTAAAAAAAAAGCACAGATTTATAAATCTTAAAATAAATCTCCTTTCCAGAGTGAAGTGTCCTGCCCAATCTGATGCCAGAAGGGCAAGAGGCAGCCCCAGGGGAACCTTGGAGAGTTAGCAGGTATGTGGGTGTGGGGAGGGGGTGGTTCTCAATAAAAAATCAAGGAACCCTCACCAAAAGGGGAAGAGATGTCAGGAAAGTAGGGAGAACAACATGGCAAGGTGATGTAATTATTTAGTCTGGAGAGCACAATGATTTAAGAGGTCTTCACAGTTCCTCCTTCATACCTTTCCTGGAGGATGAGGCATTAGCATATTTTATTTGGCAAGAGGCAGGGCAAAGTTCAGACCTCCAAGAAAGGACCTTGGCATAGCCTGACACATGGCACTGAGTGTAGAGAAACCCACACCCTTAGCCAAGTCTGCCACTTTAATTCAGGTTAGTCTGCACTGAGTAAAACTTGAGTTTGCTTTCAATTTTGGAGTGATTGCATTGTGTATTTCTAATGACATTCCTCTGGAAAGCAACATATGCTTATACTTTGAATCTCCACAAATTTCTCTAAACATCTTCCCTAACTGCCATGACTTTTTAATTGCCTGTTCCATCAAGCCAATTCCAGCTGGATGATTAGCTACCTATCATTGCCAATGAGAAAATGCAGGTAAAAGTACTTTGAAAAGCATGGCATTCTCTATTCATAGCTCTCAACCTTGGCTGCACATGGAAATCACTAGGAGTTTTTTTTTTTTTTTTTTTTTTTTAAACACTGATGTCTGTGGTTCATATGCACTGTGACTTCACTGGTGTGGGTGTGGCTTGAGGATAGGGTTCCCCACTCCCTAAGCTCCCCAAGTGTTACTCAGTGTACAGGTAAAGTTGGGATCCTTCTGTGCAGAGGTTCTCACATTTTGGCACCTGCTAAATTGGGGGAGGTCACCTTTTGAGGATATTGGCTCTGTGTTAGCCAGTTTTCCATCACCATAACAAATACCCAAGAAAATCAACTTATTAAGAGAAAGTGTTTATTTGGGCTCAAAAGTTTTGAGGTTCCAGTCCATGATTAATCCTATTGTTTTGGGTCTGTGATGAGGTAGCACATTATGGCAGGCACATGTGGCAGAGCAAAGCTGCTCAATTCATGGCCAAGGAATGAAGAGACTGGGGACCATGGTCACCTCTGAGTCACACCCAAAATGACCTAAAGACCTCCAACTAGGCCCATCTCTTACAAGTTTAACCACCTCCTGATAGCACCAGGCTGGGGACCATGCCTTTGCTACATGGACCTTTGTAGGACATTTAAGATCCAAATTATAGCAGGCTGTAACCAAATTCTAATATACATAAATCTCTGGCAAAAATCTCTCCTAAAAACCAGGAAGAGAAAGAGTTCCTTTGAAACCTCTGACCTGATTTCCAATAGAATTATCAAGTACTATAATATGATGGCAAACTGATTTTGGCTGGGTGGGCCCTGATTTATAGCATTTGCCAATTCTATGGTGTAAATACTTCCAATGCAGATAAGTTATCAGCATTTTAATAACCAACTCAGAAAATTCTTAGACAATGGACTCTCAAGAGATAGGACCTCACTAAATCCATCCAAGTGGTTTTTGGATTTTTGGGTGGCTGGGGAAGCCCTAGTTATAGGATCAATGCTTTTTATAATTGTGACACACTCTCTGTATAGCTTGAATGTGTTCCCCAAAGTTCTTGTATTGGAAATTTAATTTCCAAAGACATATATTAATGATAGTTGGGGGGAGGTATTTGGGGGGTAGATTAGGATTATACAAGCCATAAGGGTGGGGCCCTCATGGTAGCATTAGTAGCTTTATAAGAAGAAGACAGGCTCACGCTAGAACACTTGCTCTGTCTCACCATGTAATGTCCTCCACCAGGTTATGACATAATGAGGAGGCCCTCACTAGATGCCAATACAAAACAATGAGATAAATAAATCTCAGTTATTTATAAATTACTTTGTCACTTATTAATGTAACAGAAAACAGACTACGATCTTATCTAAAATTAATGTTTCCTTTTCCTGAAAAGCCAACTGAGCATTAAGTGAGAATACTGATCATCCCCCTTTACCCCAAGCTTCTTATTTCTTTTCCATTTAGAGTGAGACAAAAGACAGTATGTAGGAGGAGATAGCTGAGTGGGGGCCCTGGACACTGAGAGGAACAGCTCCATCAATACTTACAAGCAGTGCACAACTGTGCGACCTTCCCCACCGTTGTACTCTTCCTGCCACTTGTCCACCTGGCGGATGAGCTTCAAGAAGGAACGCTTGGACACTGGTGTGTCCCTGTACATCGGCCAGCCCAGGAACTGGAATTGCTGTACCATTCGATATCCATCTTGGGGCTACAGACCATCAGGCAACAATCAGGGAGTAGAGAAAGAACAGGCATTATTTACTTCCTTGGACGACAGTGGGCTGATTCCACCTACTTGATCTTCACATCAAAGCAGAGCATTATGAAATGAGAGTCTGGCCAACAAATAACAAGGCAGCTCCTACAGGCCAAGTAGTTATGATTTTTAATTTCAAGCAGTTATTAAAAAAACAAAAACAGGTGTTTTCCATGATAGGCCACAGACAAATAAGAGTGAAGCAAAACACTTAACCATTTTGCCAAAGCCAAGTAAAAAATAACCGTATGAGGACTGAGGGCATCATGCATTATGTGGGAAAATGGTTTTACTTTGATTACACAGAACTCAAGGTGAAGAGCAAATTATAACCTGGAGACATTTGTGAGTGCAATGTGATGTAGATTACACCATGTTTCCCATGACTATAACAGAGTTTTGCTTATTGGTGTGAATCTTAATCTTTACTCCTAATTAAGTGGAATTACAGGATTCACAAAGGTGTTGGAGTTTATGTTAGAAAAGCTACAACAGCTTAATCTGTCATGGCTAAATCACTTGGACTGAACCCTCTATGGCCTGTTGAGTACTCACTTCTCAGTACACTTTCTTCACTGGTTCTTCTTTCTCCTTATCCCTCTCTCCTCCTCTGCCTCCCCGCTTCAGCCTCCCTTTCTCCCAGACTTCTTGCTGATGGAAGCCTCCGGGCTCAGTCCTGGGGTTTCTCTCTCACTTCATGATCCCATTCAATCTCATGGTTTAAAACATCAACAGTAAGTCCTAAGTCTACATCTCCAGTTCATACCTCTCCCGAGAGTCCTGAAAGTCCTACCTAATATTCCCACTTAGGGCTCAAAGAGTCATCTCAAACCTCTTACATTTAGAACTGAACTTCTCTGCACATATGCCCCTTGCTCAAATAACCTGTTACACATACAGCCTTTCCTTCTCAGTGAATGGCCAACTCCACTGTTCTGGTTTACAGGATAAAAATCTTGAAAGTCACCCTGGAATCCCTGGAATCCTACTGGTCTACCTTCAGAATATATTTAAGTCTTTCTATTGCTCCAACTGCTACCACTTCTGTCCTACCACTGTCATTTACACTTGGGTCCTTCTCACAGCCTCCTGATGGGTCTCTCTCAACACAGGAAGTCAGAGCACTCCTTTAAAAATGTAAGTTATATCTTAAGGTTTCTAGCGAAAACCCTCTACTGGCTCCTTATTTTCTTACAAGCAAAAGCTCAAAGCTAGTAAGGCCTGTGAGGCTCTCAGGACACCTTTCCTCCCACCTCTGCCAGTCTCCTTCCAGGTGCATGACTTCACCAGCTCCTCCTGCCTTTGTGAGTGTCACGGCCACACCAGCTTCCCACTGGACCTGCAGTCACCAGGCACAGCTCTTCCTCAGGACCTCTGCACTTGCTGTGACTTCTGCCTAAAATATTATGTCCCTAGGGAGCCCAGTGGCTATTCCTCAGGGCTCTGCTCACATGACACAGTTATTTAAAACAGAGACTTGCTCTCTTCATCACTTCTTGGTCTTATAAAATCCATCACTTTGTAACAAACTAAATCCATTATTCTATCTCTTCTGTTTTCTGCCTTCTGATAAAGAGCCTTTGCTTGACCAAAGTCAGGCTCTGAGCCTTCTCCTAAGCCCACCTGTGAACCTCCTTATAAAAAGCAGTTTTAACAATCCTTGCTAAATCAATTTTACAAGAGCATCCTCTCCCCATGTCTGGCCATTCTCATCATTTGATCAGGTTCCTCAGCCTCTACCATCCCCAGGTGATGCCTGATCACTGTGGCCTTTCTTCAGAAAGAATCCCCTTACCCTGATACTTCTTCTCCTTGGGAACTTTCAACCCACTGGCCCCCCACTTCTCCTTGGCCATCAATCCTCATTTGCCCTCAGAGGTGCATTCAGAGGTGAGCTCATCTCTCTCCCCTGCTGCATGACCCCACTGTTGTGGCCCCTGTCCCTGTCACGATGGCCTTCCTTTCAGAAAGTGTCACTGAATAACTTTTTCTTTGACATTGTTCCTGGTAGAATATAAGCTCCTTAAGGTCAGGGCTCTCTGACACACTCCAAAATCCTAGAACAGTGCCTGATGTAGAGTGGTCTGTTAGAAATCAGTGGACAAGAATATGACGGACCACAGTACAAAGCAATACTGTCCCTGGCTCTTACTCTGGCTGCATTATAAATACGGAATATCCTGCTGATGATGTCCTCTTCTAGGTCGGCAGACACAAATTCCACCTGGATGGGGCCATGCCTGTGTACTCCATTTTCTGGCCAGTACTGAGGACACAACTGAATTTAAAACATAGAAACACAAGGTTAATTATACTACATTTACTACTAACAGTTTGGATAAAGTCAGTATCAGACATTCACTAAATCTCAAGACTTCCTTGATTCCCTTCCTTTTCTTTTTTTTCCATCTTTTCCTTTCAGCAAGTTGACTCAAGGACTTCCTTGTCTGCTGATTCCTCACCTGTCCTTCTCCTGTGACTCTTTTCTTCATTGTCTCAGGAAGCACCTGGAGCCATGACTAATTCTGCTTTCCAGGGAAGGCATGAGGATCTCTTCCATACATCCCTTCCTAGGTCTCCTGGCTGCTGAAATGTATACTTAGTTAGGCCCTAGGGGAAATGCCTCTAGTTGCCACTGTGAAACTGAAGACGTTTAAACTGGCATGTGTACCTGTTAACACAGGTTTTTATCCTCTCCTGCTGGACTTTTGGAAATCAGGCTATTTTGTGACAAACAGTAAGGGTTGGGTGCATTTTCATATTCTGGTACAAGCTCTCCCAAAGCAAAATCTAGGTATCCTGGGTTGTGAGAGTAACTGCTCTGCTTTTTTTACCTGGAGGCCACTTTGATTAAAAACACAGTTTTCAAGAAGCTCAAAACCCAGGTATTGATGCTATAAGATAACTAGAATATTTGCACAAATGGAATCACAACTCAGCGTGCAGGAGTGTTTAGGACTTGGGAGTTTAGGAAAGGGGTCCTTGCATTTGTCACCACCCTACCATCCTCCTAAACTTGAAGATGGTCAGGTGGGAAGAACCTATAAGATCTTTTCAAATACATTTTTTCAATCCATGAAGCCTTAATAGGTATTCAAACTTCTTTCTGGACTTGGTGTTCCAGTGACTTGTGGAATTGTGTTTAACTTTTATCTTTCTGATTTACCTGAAGGACAGATGGCTCATGGTGAAGCAAGAGGGGCACTACTTCATTATTTTTAAACCTGTTGCTATGGGATGAAGAGCAGGTGAAAACCCTATTATCTCATTTTAAGCAAAATGATATACCACAAAAGGATAATCCACTGGTTAAACTTCCTTTTATTTTTCCTTTTGATAACTTTTATTTTCCAAAGGATATAAAAATTTCACTGTCAAATGTTTGCAAAGGTTGATTTATATCCAAGATTGCACGACAAGTTCTCAGTTAACAGTGGGCCAAGAGAAACAGCATCTGTCTCCATTAGAAAGAAGTTGAAGGTTAGACCTTTTTTTTTCTTTTGATTAAAAATGAAAGTAGGATAACTAAGCATAGTTTTTATGGTAGCTAAGTCTATTATATTTTAGAAATTGCATTTATTTTTAAACAATTGCCTCCCTGAAATTTTTCCTTCTTCACTCAACAGCACTTCCTGGTGACAAGTTATTAAATTGCCTTGTCAAACAATAGCATGCTAATGTTTATTTTCTTTTTGATACCCAAGGATACCCACTGTTAAAATTAATAGGCATGATGATGGGAAGTCAAGATGGTAATAAAAGCCATAACATACACATTCAACTGTTGTACCCATTTTTCTACTGACTGAGCTAGCCTTACTTTCTGCTTGTCCTCTCAGTTCAAGCATCTGACAAAGCTTGTCACTTACAATGAAGAAATATGAATGGCCTGGACTACACGGGGCTCTTGGCACACTGCATCCTACACTCTGCCCAAGGAAACCATGTAGAAAATGGCTTAAATGGTGCATAACACATCCATGAACTGGACCTATAAATACTTAAAATAGTTGAGTGCTAGTCTTGTACGGTTGCAAAGGCTTTGAGTTCAATGCTCAGTTTAGTGTTCGCTAAAAGACTGAATCCCCCGAGCCTCTTTTCTCTCACTCTGAAAATCAGCTCTGTCTGCTGAATAGAATTGGAGTCTTTTTGTTTCTCCTATCACCAGTCAGCCAAGGCTTGGTTGGAGTCCAGACATTTTGGGTTCAGAATGTAGCTTTAGAATTCAAATGCTGTTGTTCATTAAGAACAAGCTAGAATCACTGATATGTTCACAGTGTATACTGCCACTTTTCAGGATTAACTTTAGCAGCATAATTCTGAACAGGGAACAAGTCCTATAACCCTGACTGTGACTGTTCGTGAGTTAATGTGGCTCTGCAAGTTGGAAAGTCAGGATCCTTGTTTCTGTTTCAAATTGTGTGTGTCTTTATAAATGGTTCCAGTCTGCCTCTCTGAGAGCATCTACAGGAAGTGATCTAAAATATTTAAGCTTCTTAAGCCAAAATGACTAGATGAGAACAAGGATTATCATTATTATTTCATTAACTAACTTTCAGGCAAGGGCCTTAACAATATAATGTAGTGCTTCAAACATAATTAAAAATCTTAAAGAACTGAATGTCCTTTCCAGATATGGCAGATTGATGGGCAACAAAACAGATTTTAGAAAGGAGATATCTTGTCCAGTTTGGAGAATGAAATACTTCAGATCTTTTCTTAAAAAAAAAAAAGGAAAAAAAATGTCTCTATTAGCAAGAAATTAATTCCGTTCCAGAACAAGTTTATTCTTAAAACATGCTAAGTTTGAACTTTCCATAATGACCTTGGTCATGGTAGTGAAATCTGTGATTGGAATAAATTCAGCTCCCAAAGGGCCTTGGTGCTAACAGTCTCCTGACAGCTCCCTCTAAGAAACTTCTACCTCCATTACTAATCTTGAGTTATCCGTGTCCAAGTCTTTTTTTTTTTTTCCTGTTTAGGAGGAGCTATGCAAAAACTCTATTTATCATTCAGAGCTTCTCTTATCTCCAGGTGACAGTTTTATTTCTTTTTAATATCTTTACCAAAGAGTTGAGAAACTAATTGCCATCCCTTAAACTTGCTTGCTTGTTCCCACTGTCTACACACCATGACGATTTCCACCTGCAGGCTCCAGGCGAGCTATGCCAACTGGATGCCCCAGGGATGGAAGCCAGGGCTGGTGTCCTTTCTCCTCTGTCCTCTGGTTTACTTGCTCTACTTTTGGCTCTGTGATGTTTGAATTCCTGTTCATCTATATCCTTATATATCCCTAGTGGGTATTTCTATCCTTTGGAGCAGGTTAATTTTTAACCCTGTCTTGCCATGTTACTTCCGCTGTCTATGACTTTGGCCTGTGCTTGGTTTCTACCAACCTTCTGCTCTAGATCAGCATCCCTAATTCTCAATCATCAACTGGCATTTGAGCCCTGGCCTGAGAGCCTGTGATGTGCAAACAGAGCACTCACAAACTTGCCCTAGGAGCACGAGCTCTGCCTTCAAGAATTCCCGAGTCTCACCTGGGCAGGATCCACATCATTTAACATAACCACTGATGTGCAGTGATAATCCAGGACCAGTCTCCAAAAGTCTTTGACTGTGTTTGGCAAAGGATGCTGGGTGACTATAAAAGCTGAAGGCTGTTTATAGCTCTGCAAACACAAACAAGAAAGATCCAAATATACCCAGGAAAATGTGAAAGGAGGAATCTATTTAGTGCACATGGAAATGTGTGGCACAAAACACTGAACGTATTTAGTGACTGTTAAATCCTACCACTGTTGTCAACACCAAAATAAACTAAATGTAAATTTATCTGTGGAACAACAATGATAAAGTAATCTCACTTTGATATAAGGAAAACTTAACTATCTCTTACCAGTTTTTCTCTATTTCTGATAGGCAACATTGACTCCATATGTAATCATTATAATGGAGAAAATTCAATTTAAAATTATGAATAATTAAAATCATTCTGTTTTTCTTAAAGCTTATTTGTTTGTCACTTATAAGTTTTGGTGTTACTTATTCCTGCCATAAAGAACACACATACTTTTTTCAGCTCTGGAGAGCTTTGAACAAGTGTAAGTGCCCTTTTACAACATCACACCAATACAATTAAAATTTCCACATTAGCACTGAAAATATCCATTTACTCTTCCCATCAATTGAACTGCAAGAAGTAAATTGACAAACAGTAAGTAATGAGTTGTGTTTTCTTCCCATGTTAATTACTGCCTAAAATAGGAGGAAAGGGAAATGAGATAATGCTGCTTCCACATTACTCCATTTCCTTGCCATGGGGACTTAACAGCTGTTTCTTGCTCTTTGGCCAGAGAGTAACTGCAACATGCTTCTTTTATCACTACTTCTGGACCCATGGCCACTGAGAGCGCAAGAATATCCAGCTACACAAAAACACATGGAATCTGAAATCTATGTTTTGTTGAAAAGAGTTTGCATCTTGAAAAAGGGTGGGAGGGACAGAGGAGCATAAGGAAAGACCTCTGAAGTGCTTTCCCTGACCTTCCCAGTGGCTATCCCTGTTGGGGAACACCTCCTATATCCTTCCCAGAAAGGGAATTGCTTACGTCCATCAGGGCGGCATTGATGTAGTTGCTGCTCTCCCCGTCGATGGTGATAAGGAAGGGCAGGCAACGGTCTGGGGGCAGGATGTCCATACACCGGTTCTTCTCATGGTTCCGAGGCAAGAGTGCGATGCTACAGTCTTCTACACGCAATGTTGGTGTCACCATGTTTAGAGTCTGTGGGTCAAAAGAAAGGCGCATGACCTCCAGGTTCAGCCATATTGCCACCAATGGCAGGATTTTATGCATTTTTATGGCTTGATAGTATGATTCATGCAGGGAAAACATCACACTGTACCCCAAAATATGTATGATTAGCAATGTGTCAAAAAAACATAATACAACTTAAAAACCAACTTATGAATTGTATGTCTATGATTTTCCATTTAATATTCTCAAAACATAATTGAAACCACAGAAAGCAAAACCTCAAATAAGGGGGGATTACTGGAATAGGTTAAATAAAACATTAATTTTTTAAAAAGGGCACATGAGGAAGAGAACAGTTCCACAGTAGGTGTTTCTCATGGTCATTAAGTTTCCTTAGGCTGTCAGCAAGATGACTCCTTCAATAACCCTAAATGCCCCATTAGATTCAGTTCTTTCCTGTGCTCTGCTTTGGTCCATAGACTGTTTTTCAGACACAGGGACCAGCGGCAGAGGCATAAGGGCCACTGTTGATCCCTGGGATTAAGTACCATGAAATCTAACTAGAGCTGTCCATCTGGGGATCCGGGGAGCATCTTGCCTAGGGTCAGGTACACTTAGATGAAACATGTATGTGGGGAACTCAGTGAAAAATAATGTCCAGAAAGAATTATTAATGTGCATTTCTATGTTTTGCCTGTACCCATGGTTGGTTGCACTGTGAACAGGGGTTTAGGTCCTGTTAACTGCTTGGTGTCTGCTTAGAAAGGTAATGGTTCTGTAAGACTAACTTTGGTCCCCTCCCCTGGGAACATTTAGTGATGCCTGCACATATGTTTGGCATGTTTGGCATGGTGCTCATGTCAGAGACATCTAGAGGGTAGAACCCAGGGGTGCTCCTAAATACCCTACAGGACAACACCACAGCAAAAAATCACCCAGTCTCAAATATCAGTAGTGGTAAGACAGAGGAAGCCTGTGTTGGTTCAAGGGATCAGGAGCTGACTTTGAGATACTTCTGAAAAAGCAAGGTCAGAGTCAATCACCTCTCCCTTTAGCACAACTTACCCGGAATTCCTCTTTAATTTGGCTTGAATTTGTCTGTGGGTCCAGTTTGTTCATATCATAATATAGAGACCTAACTTGGGAAGCAGGGACAGAGGTGTCTCCACACAGACAGGCTTCCAGGATGGCATCGTGAATAAATACATATTGCTCCTGAAGAAGCAGACAAAACTAGTTAGTAATGGAGAAATCAAGGTAAACAAGAGCTACAGGAGGGAAGACACTAACAGTTTTAGCTCTACATCATCAAGGTAATGGGTAAAACACATTCTCAACAATAACAAGCTCTAAGTCTGTCTGACAGGACACTGGATTTCCCAAACATTATGTGGCATTCTACCTAATTGACCATGGGAAGGAGAGAAAAACTGGAGCTTCATGCAGGATGTTACATAAATCAATAAGACACTGGTGCAGACTACAGCAGGCACTGTGTTGGTATATAATGGTGACTAAGATACCTTTGTAATTCTGATGTCCTAAATTTGGAATGAGAATTTTTTTTTTTTTTTTTTTTTTTTTTGGTACTGGGGATTGAACTCAGGGGCACTCAATCACTGAACTATATCCCCAGCCCTATTTTATTTAGAGACAGAGTCTCATTGAGTTGCTTAGTACCTTACTTTTGATGAAGCTAGCTTTGAATCTGCTATCCTCCTGCCTCAGCCTCCAGAGCCACTGGGATTAAAGGCATGCATAACCATACCTGGCAAGTAGAATTTTATCTATCTGTGTTGAAAAGAGATTTTTCCAACCAAATAAATGAGAAAGGTCCAGGGAAAACTGACATTGCTCTGAAGACAGTTCTGAACACTGGAAACTACTTCTTTGAAAACATTTAATAATGTGATAACTATGAAAACTCTTACAAGTCCATAGCTCTTGATATGTGTACAATAAGCCTACAGTTTAAAAATGAGTCCTCTAGGGTGTAGTCCAGTACTTGTCTAGCAAGTGTGAGGCCCTGGGTTTGATCCCTAGGCCTGCAAACAAAACAAAACATAACAAAAACTCCAAAAAAACAAATAAGCATTAAAATGGGTCCCATAGTTGACTTTCTCTACAATTAACCAGTGCATCTTTACCATATTTATTATTGATCTTTAATTATATGAAATGTTAAAAAGCCTCTTATTACCATTAATTTCTATAAATACATAGGATTTGAATTCTGAAAAATAGCTTACTCCTATTAATTAAAAAGGGAATTAAGAGTGAGGACATGGGTGCGGCAACATGTGCTGGACTGTAAAGAATATAAAAAATAAGTTTTAATCATTATTATCTTGAAAACAAAGTATCCATAGTCTAAAGAAAAAAGAGTATAATATAAAAAAATCTGTGATATATTCTGTTTTTTTTTATGTTAACTAAAAGATGGGATTAGGTTTCCCAGTGGTTACTATAAACTATAATGCATAATTTAAACAAAAGGGATTCTTATTTATTCTTCATTCTGCTCCATGAATCACTTTCTAGGTGATGGGTTGTAATGCCTACTTAAAATGATCAAATCTTAATAAAAATAGGAATGTCCTAGGAACAAGTTGTAATTCTTTTCAAAAATGTAAATTCCTGCTATACTTTGCATTTCAATTAGAGAGTTCCTAGTTGGTACACAGTACATCTATAAAATAGGCAAATTCCTATGATGCCAGGCTACTAGAAAGAATTTTCAGGGACAAGAGGCCACTCTTCTTCCTAGTATCCCTGGAGAAGAATAAAATGTACAGAGATTACCCTAAAGCCACTCGGTAGATGCCTAGCTATTCTCATGAGTGGTCTTGCTCTGGTTCCCAGCTAGTTTAAAAGATAGAATAAAAACAAATGGTATTGAAACCTTGAGTGCTTGATGTAGAAACTCTACTGGGTCCCTTGACACAGAAAAATGTGTAAATTTTAGCTCATGGCTAAAGATTCTGCTGCCAGGAAAAGTCCTGGTAGCAGAATCTGACTTGAAAGCTCCTTTTTTTGTTTGTTTAAAAGAAGAACAACAAAACAGAGGAAAGAAGGCAGGGAGGGAAAAGGGCAGAGGGTGGGGGGAAGGAGGAAACAGGGATTGCCAGGTATATTGCTTTATCCCTAGAGCATTTAGAAGAAAGAGTTGGCAGGCTTTCTTTTGTCCTTGGCTGTGGGAGGTGAGGATGCAGGGGAGACACCAGGGACCAGGCTGCAGGATGGAGGGCAGGTTGCAGTACCTCTGTTTGCACCATGTTCACCCTCCGTGACCGCAGCTCCCTGACACAGTTATAGATGTCTACCACCCCTTCCCTTTCGGCCATGTCCAACATGATGTCTATGACAATGAAGCAGCCTGTCCTTCCTGCGCCAGCACTGCACAAAAAGAGGGGTTCATCAATGGAGGCAAAAGGACCATTGAGCTGCTTCTACATTAAAACATTTTTTGTTAAGGTGAAATTCACATAAAAAATTAACCACTAAAACACTTAGCACATTCAAATTGTTGTCCAACTGTTGCCTCTATCCCACTCCAAAACATACCACCCCACTTCTCCCACCCACAACCCATGGTATACTTCTTTAAGAGGCACTGGGAGCTCTACTTACCTGCAGTGCACCACCAATGGGCCTGCATTGGGTGGGCTCTTGGATTTGACCTGTCTGACAAATCCCAGCAGGCCGGTGGCATGGTAGGGGACCCCATGATCCGGCCAGCCAGTGAAGTGAAACTGTCTGATCTCTCGGATTTCATGAACGCCTCTCTGCATTTCCCAGTCAGCCACAACACAGAAGAGAACAAAGGAGAATAAATGATAAACTTCAAGAGCAACCAGGGGAGCACAACCCACCCCTAGGTAGCAAGCCTAGGGGCAGATAACAATGAGTTGCTGTGGAAGAAGGTCATTCTTACATTCAACACAGGTTAATCACACTTAGGAAGATGTGGGTGGGAAAGGGAGGTGGTGTTTGGAGGACATGCTAATTTATACACAAGCAACTCTAAATGAATGGCTATCTGATTCTTTGAAATTCCTTAATAAAATATAGATTATGTTAAAAGCTGCTCAATACTAGTTACTGAAATGCAAGACCTTTGTTCTGGATCATCTGTATCCTGGTACCTCTTTGTACCAGATGCTCAAGCAGTGCACATACACTGTACATGCTCAGAAAATGTTTTTGCTGGCACAATGAATCTACCTTCCAACCAGACGAGCTGGGGAACTCATTTTCATTTGCAACTGTTTTTCTCTTTTTATTTCAGGTCAACATTTAACCCAGTCCTCAAATCACTGACAATTTTGTAATTACAGTGCTCCAAGTATTATTCAAGGCGTTAGACTGTAGAGATATGAAGACACTGTCTCCTGTCTTTAAGTGATGGTCCCAGTCTGCAGGAAGCAGGCATGTCAGCAAATGAGCCCATGGGAATCAAGAGGTACTTTTGTATCAGTAAATTGAAGGGGGCACTGCCTGCCACTGAACTAAAGGGAACTGAAGGAAAGATACTTTACTCTTGTTTTGCTTTTAAATTTGCTCTTGAGAGTAATTAAGCTGATTATCAGTTTTGTTTTCTAACTCTGACTCCACATTTTAAGACTATGTTTTAAGGCAAAAGTGTATTTTGAAAATAAAAATTACTCTTCACACCAAGGTTACATATAAATCTGGGATCAAACTTAACTTTCTCTGTCTTCTCACTGGATAACCACTAAGTACCATCTCTGCATTTTAGTTTTATTGCATCTTAAAGGTAAACACACGCTGACCTTACCACACTCTCCATCAAGCAATTGTAGGGAATAAATAATAAGTTCAAATTTTATGTGCTTGGGAAGACATGGAGAGGCAAACAAATACAGATTTTAAGATAAGACTTAGTTATTACCAATGTGTTAATAGGGCTAATAATCCACAAATGCTGAAGCTTTATTTTTCTGTGAAGATACTTTTTTAGTAGAATTTAAGCAGTTAGGAGTTAAACAGTCAAGGACTCACAATGCAAATCAACATTGTCATCTATTAAATAGGTGCAGTAATACCAGAGTGATATTACTAGGTGGTTAGGAGCTCAAATTTCTTATCTCGGAAAAAGTCATAACATTTGGCTATCCTCAAAGAATCCATCAGAGACATGCAGTTGAGCCTCTGTCACCTTCCAAAGCCCTAGAGAGCTTTGCTGGCTTTATGAATGACTTGGGCAGAGCTGCTCCCAAATGCAGAATGAGCATCCCATAAACTGAGAAAGCTTACCAGTGATAAAATCTTATTTATTCCAAAAGGAATAAACAGAAGATTTCAGCCTGTACATTACCAAGCTCTGAGCCCCACCCATCATGAGAAGGGCTCATGATCTAAGTCTCATTGTCTGAGCAAGGTAAATGTCAGTTTTTGAAATGCAGAAGAACTGCTCCCAGAATAAATCTCCACCCTCTGATATGTTCATTACTGCCAACATTAGCAAAGGAAATTGCTTCTGATCCAACTTTCATTCTTGTTCATGGACATAAGTTTCTCCTTTTGCTGTTTTGTAATACAATTGAGGAAGAAAATCATAGATGCAACCAGTGATCACAGCCTAAATACTTCCCAGCTGGATGCTAATTACATTTTTCCTTTAGTCTTCATTATAAAAGCATTAATGCTATATAAAAAGTCATTTAATTTTTCCATGTAATATAAATGGGAACGGAGAACCCTTGACATACAACAATGCCTAGACCAAAGTGGATGCTTAACAAACATTTGAAGAATGACTCAAATCACTGAGTGCATGTTCTGTCTTTGAGATGGGGGATCATATTCACACTGCCGTCTGCTTCCCTTAATATGAGAAAGAAAAAGCAGCCATCAGATGCAAAACAGAAATTCTTCAGTTTCAAACTGAAGAATAAGCTAATAAGCAGATATAACAATCTGCTTGTTTTGCAGAGTGGAGTCCAAATCCATTTTTCACCTTTAGATCCCTTGTTGTAACACACTCTCAAAATAGAATGAGAATTGCAGGAAGCTAGAAGTACATCCCTAACCATTTGTTTTCTTTCCCTTTTAATGACAAAGTTTCCAACCTACCAGAAATGTTCTACAGAAGTCCAGTGATTTGTTTTCCTCAAAGATTCCAATTGCCCAGTTAGAAAATCACTAACATGTCATTTTGATTTCCCCAAATGCATTCACAAGCCCTGCTTCCGTGCACCACCTCTTTTCTAGCTGTCTGATGACTAAAATAACTGGGTTTTCAGAAACATTTCTATGTGGCTGTGAATGCAGCAGAGTACAATAAGAGGTTAAAAAAAGGGAGCAAAGAAACAAACAAACCCTTCCTTTAGCAACAGAGACGCATTTTCAGCTTATTAGAGAGCTGTCTATTGTTCAAAGAATTCCATGTTTAAGCAATGGCTTAAGAAAAAAATATTGAGGGTCTTTTATCGCTATTTTAATGCAGTTATTCATGAGTGCTCTTGCCAAGAGCCATACAAAAATCCTCCACTTCTTTTTTTCCCCCAATCCTGCCTAAGAAGGAAAAATTCGACATCAAAGTGTGAGGTTCAGAACTTGAAGAACTGAGTCAACCAGAACTTCACATTCTTTGAAGTCTCCAAGCTCTTGCCTGCTTATTAAAAAAGACAGGCTAAGGAAAAAAATGCTAAATAGTATAAGAAACATATTAAAATAAACTAGTCTTCTCAGCCTTGTGATTGTCTGACAAATTTGGATTTGCAAACCAGGAATGAAAGTTCAAATTATCAGTGTAAATTATCCAATAAGCAGGTGCTACTATTTCCTTGAATTTTCTAGAACTGGTCTTGTTGATCTAAAAAAAATGTATTTAGATGCAATGAAAATACAGAGTAGAAAGGAAGGTCAAGAGCCAACTGCCCAGCAGTTTGCTTATAACCCTGTCCTTCAAGGGGACCTGCTACTATTAAATGAGTGTAAGCAGAATAAATTCATGACAAAGTTGCTGCATCTGGTGCAACTGTGCGTGGCTCGGTGATGGAGAAGGAGCTCTTGATCGAAGTCTGTGGGCCTCTGGAAGGCAGAGTGTTTCTCAGTCACATCACCTCCACCTTCCCCACAGCCTACCTGTGACACTTCTCTGGATGGACTGCAGTTTGCTTCACCTCCGGCCCCTCCCTATGTCAGCAAAAAGAGAGGGAATAAGGAAATTCCCTGTTATGCCCTACAGTGCTTCCCAGAGAAGAAGCCCCATCCATGCACATGGGATGAGGCAGGGTAGAACCAAAGCACAGCATTCACCAACACCAGCAACTAAGAAAGGCTAGACTCAGTATGACAGTGAGCATGAATGAATGCGCTGGTTCATGCAAGAGTGTCCTGGGTCCAAAGGTCATTGGTCACTTAGTTTTCCAGGTAGGTTGATTCTCCCTGGAAAATCATTAGTCCCTGTGGAACCATGGGCCTAAAAGAGCCATATGGAATCCTAAGGGATTCCAGGAGGAGTTAGGACCTGTGTCTTAACACTGATACTAACTCACTACTGGGAAACCCAAATAGACACTCACATGGAGGAAATTTATCAAACCTGAAGGACATTCATCAAAATCTCACAAACTGCTCTGTTAACAAAGAGAGATGAGCAGAAGAATATCAACCAGGTTAAAAAGAAGATAGACCAAAAATGTTATCTTTTGATTTAGTTGCAAAATATAGACTGTTATGAAATGGTAATGATTTACTTTAAAGGTGGAAGTGAGCTATTATAGAATCAGAGGGCAAGATGAATCCTTGAGAAAAAAACCAGACAGAGCCTACCTGCATTCAAGTATGAACTTGTATAAATGATGCTAGATAAGGTAATGAGGCTAGTGTAGCACCACCAGAGCTTTTAGACTTACCTTTTCAACAGCAAATGTTCTGATCACATATTCTGCCAGTAGTTCTGTTTCTATTAGGGTAACTTTAATGTCTTTATATATCTCTGTGTCATCTGGCCAGTATTTGCAGCATTTGACCTTCAGAAAACACAAGAAAATTATGGGTTTATTTGTTTGTTATTTTCAGTTCCACCAGTGATGGATCATGCTATGATTTATACAATAAAATTTGCACACAAAAATAAAACTTAATCATATACTCAAGAGCAAAGTCTGTTTTTTCTTTTTTCCTCTTTCCAGAAAAAAAAAAATTTGAATCACAGGAGGAGTAAGATTTAGAAAAATGGTATAAATTTAACAAACTGTATATACTACAAATATCCTGGTTATAGAAACCATTCCTTTCTGGGCTGGGCTTGAAAAAATAAACCTTAATGGGAAGTTGGCAATATTTTAGCTTCTCTGCATCTGAAATTTCTTTAGGTTTCAGAAAGGGATTAACATTTTTTTAAGGACGAGTGAGCAGAAAAATCAGAATTAACACTCAAGACCAGAGTTTTCTTTTTCTGAAGAAGAAGGAAGCACTGCGGTTTTCCCTAGTTAGCACTACAGATTGATTTTAACATAAGCAAACACACACACACACACACACACACAGTCTTTCCATGTTATCTGAAACCTCTAACCGGGGGATTTTTCAGGTGGAAGAAATTTGTTAGATTTGGCCCCTCCTAGAATTTGTTCTTGAGTTTCATCAGCAAGAGTTTAGGATGAGCTAAGCAGGGATAAGTAGCCTCTGTTAGGCTCTGTCCTTGACCTTTTGGGCCTCTCTGAATTCCTGGAAGTTCCATCCACTTGCATCCATGGATGAATTTTTTTTTTTCTGTAACTCCAGCTCTATTCCTCCAAGTGCTCAACTGGGCTTTTCACTTACTTTGTGGGCCTCTTCCCTTGGGGGTCCTGCCAGCAACTCAAAGGCAAGATGTCTAAAACAGAACTCTTTGTCCCACAGTCATGGCTCTCTTGCTGACTTCTATGTTAATGCTATTATAATTTCTTCCATTACCCAAACTTGGCCAATTCCTTCTCCAAAACCCAAGTCTAGGTGAGTTGCCAAGTCTAGGAATATCTTTGAAATACCTCCCAGATATGGTTTTCAACTTTTTAAAATTCCTCTGCCATTCTCAGTTCAGGCGCTGGAGTCTTCCTGCATGAATATGCTATACAAACTAGCACCAGAAAACCTTTGGCAAGAAGAATCCACTCTCTGAATTAGGCTGCTCAAGGATCTCCTATTGCCAACTTCTGTGAAGCTAATTGATTCTTAACATAATTCTTCAGTATGGCATATATGGAACTTTTAGAATTTGGCCACAATTTGTATTCTCAGCCTTATCTTCTACTACTCTCCTATTTATGTTTTATGTTCAAAGACAAGTGGTTTGCCCTAAATTCCAAACATGCTCCACAATCCAAACTCTGACTCAAGCCCATTCCTCTCTTTTAAAATGTTCACCTCCCACCCAGTTCTTTCCAGATGAAGATTTTTTTTTTCATTCTTGAAAGTGATCTCAAATGTTACCCGCTCTAAAGTCTTTTCTCCATAGAAGTGGACTCTCTTTGATTCCTTCATGAAATGAGCTTTTTTGAAGTTAGGATAACACTGTCTTGAAAGATTTGATACTTACTTATTACCAGGCAACAGACAAGTGTTGCTTGCTTATTTCTGCAAACCCTGCAACGCCTGGTTAATGTGTCCTGTATATGCTGAATATGCAGTAGATACACAGAGCTGAATTTCATGGAGAAAGTCAGTGGATCAGTGTGGGAAATTCCTGGGAAAGTTGACAGAAAGGACAAAGGCCTGAGAACAGCTTTCCCAGAAAGCTGAACACCTGTGGTGCACTAATGTTCCCAATATGACATGGTGTCAGTCATTGTTCTAGCTGCTTCCTTAGGAGACTTTCTGGCAGTTCTAGGTTATTCTTACTACCTCTAGTTGGCCAGGTACAAATCAGATATGCTAGAAGTTAGAGATAAGTGGAGCACAAGACAAAGATGGGAGTTTTCAATTTGGAAGTCTTTTTTTTTCCCCCTTCTTGTTATTGGGAACATTACCTATGACTTTCTAAATGACTTATCTATAGTATCTCAGAATTCAGATATTACACAGTATCTAAAATATCCCAGAGCAAGAAGGATCCATTTATTTTCCTGTAAAGAATGTATGATTGGGTATGTGTGGAGATGTCTAAGTTGACAGCAGTCATGATTTCATTTATAGAATTTCTAGCACTATACTTTTAGAATGAGAATGAACAGATATGCTTATATGGTACACACTATATTCTCTGCTGTGTTAGAATTGCTTTTACACTTTTGTGACTTCAATTATGCAAGTGGACAGAACTAAAAATACAGGTCATGTGTGCACTTTTAAAAATAAATAACTCAATGGTATACATATTTTTTAATATATTTCTCTGGAAATTGAACAAAATCACACCCACACCTGCCACCTACATTGTAACACAGCTAACTTACCTAATAAAAATGCCACCATCTAGGTTTAATCTTCTAATCTGTGAGTTTACTAACTATAGGATGCAACAGACCTAAGATATTTTGTGTGGTTATCTGTTCTTCTACGTTAGACTTTATCCTTCCTGCCCTCAGATTTTCAATAAATATGAGCATGGGGGCAGAGGGTGGCTTCAGTTCCTTGCAATTAGGGAAACTAAAAGCCACCTATGAGTCCTGAGGACCAGAGTTTCCCTTTGGGATATGTTCTTCCCCATCAACAGCTCCAAATTCCTTTGGGCAAATTTGGGATCCATCTGAAATCTGACCCTGCCGCCTGCGTCTGCAGGAGCCCAGGCTCTGACTGGATGCAGCTGGTGCCCCTGTGCTTCCCCAAAGGCAAGGAGCGCTGAACCACAAGTTGTTGTGGGTGGCAGAGGGCTTCCTACTGGAGCGCCATTGGGATGGGCAGGTGCAGCCTCCAAAGTGAAGTGGCAGAACCGTGAACACGCAGTCTGCCCTGAACCGCTTGGCACTGCCCGGATGCTTCGATGAGGAGGTAATTAGGGGAAAGGAAGCGTGGGGGGCTTCCTTCCAGAACAAGTACAGGGCGGTCCCCTCCTGCGCAGAGGCACCTGGTGGGGCAGGCTCAGAACAGGTGGATGAGCCATTTCGGATCTGGTCCTCCCCATCTCATCTCCCAGAATATCCTGAAATGGTTTGCCACATCTGTTTTCAGCCTACTAAAAACCCTTCTAAATTGGGTTCCTTTTAGTATCTTTTTAACTGCTTGGACTTGTGTCAAGTTATTTTTCTGGAAAAAAAAATTAAAAGGAAGAGAAAATATGCTTTTCTCTCTGGGTGAAAATGTCTGGAGAATCTAGGGCTTGCAGTTGCCTCCCCTCCTGTCCTGAGTCTGCATACAGAGACACTGAAACCATTGCTTTTGAGGGCTTATTGGAGCTCAGGAACCGCAGAACCGGATGCTCCTCTCTCTGATTCTGTGCCAGGCCCAGCTGCCTCCTGCAGACTGTCGCTACCTGCACAGCTTCTAAGCAGAGGCTCTGCCTCCCACGCATCCTAATCATATAAGGCAACAGCCTTCAGCCCAGAAAGCGAGGCCCTGATCAGGATCCTCTAATTACCTTGGTGCCCTAGTGCTGGTTCCATCAGGCCATCAATCAAGCAAACAGTACTGAGCCCTGCTGCCTGCTCATTACCACACTGAGGGCTGCAGGAGATGATGTGGTCCCTGCTCCAACGGGGTGATCATTTTGGCTTTAAAATTCATAAACATGAAACAGTACAGAAAGCAGTATAGCCCCAGGATTTCAAACTTACTGAAAAAAAATTTTTTTTTTCCAGGAAAGTAATTTTTTTTTTTAAATTTTTTATTGTTGGCTGTTCAAAACATTACATAGTTCTTGATATATCATATTTCACAATTTGATTCAGGTGGGTTATGAGCTCCCATTTTTACCCCATATACAGATTGCAGAATCACATCAGTTACACATCCATTGATTTACATATTGCCATACTAGTGTCTGTTGTATTCTGCTGCCTTTCCTATCCTCTACTATCCCCCCTCCCCTCCCCTCCCCTCCCCTCCCCTCCCCTCCCCTCCCCTCCCCTCTTCTCTCTCTGCCCCCTCTACTGACATTTGTTTGTCCCCCTTATATTATTTTTCCCCTTCCCCTCACTTCCTCTTGTATGTACTTTTGTATAACTCTGAGGGTCTCCTTCCATTTCCATGCAATTTCCCTTCTCTCTCCCTTTCCCTCCCACCTCTCATCCCTGTTTAATGTTAATCTTCTTCTCATGCTCTTCCTCCCTACTCTGTTCTTAGTTACTCTCCTTATATCAAAGAAGACATTGGGCATTTGTTTTTTAGGGATTGGCTAGCTTCACTTAGCATAATCTGCTCTAATGCCATCCATTTCCCTGTAAATTCTATGATTTTGTCATTTTTAATGCAGAGTAATACTCCATTGTGTATAAATGCCACATTTTTTTATCCATTCATCCATTGAAGGGCATCTAGGTTGGTTCCACAGTCTAGCTATTGTGAATTGTGCTGCTATGAACATCAATGTAGCAGTGTCCCTGTAGCATGCTCTTTTTAGGTCTTTAGGGAATAGACAGAGAAGGGGAATAGCTGGGTCAAATGGAGGCTCCATTCCCAGCTTTCCAAGAAATCTCCATACTGCTTTCCAAATTGGCTGCACCAATTTGCAGTCCCACCAGCAATGTACAAGTGTACCCTTTTCCCCACATCCTCGCCAGCACTTGTTGTTGTTTGACTTCATAATGGCTGCCAATCTAACTGGAGTGAGATGGTATCTTAGGGTGGTTTTGATTTGCATTTCTCTGACTGCTAGAGATGGTGAGCATTTTTTCATGTACTTGTTGATTGATTGTATGTCCTCCTCTGAGAAGTGTCTGTTCAGGTCCTTGGCCCATTTGTTGATTGGGTTATTTGTTCTCTTATTGTCTAATTTTTTGAGTTCTTTGTATACTCTGGATATTAGGGCTCTATCTGAAGTGTGAGGAGTAAAGATTTGTTCCCAGGATGTAGGCTCTCTATTTACCTCTCTTATTGTATCTTTTGTTGAGAA